GAGAAGTAGCTACGAGGGGAAAAGGGGATCAGAAATGTGAACAGGCCAGTGGGCGGCGATTCGAAATGTTCCGTATTTGCCTCTGTCCGGCATCAAAACTGTCACCCTTCAGCTACTTCAGAAATGCCTTACCCTCCTCTCTTTCAAGGACCACAACTCCGTGAGGCCCGGGAACAGGGCCACGTGCCACGCGACTCGTGACCCGCTCGAAGAAAAACACAAGGGGAACCGGAATGATTCCAATAGTTGTGCGCATGGTTAGGAGCGATCGGGCTCTGCGCATTTGAGGGACTGTCAAGTGATCGGATGATTCACTGATGGATTAGATTACATTCACTTCCCCCAACCCAAATCATGATATTATAACATTCACAAGCAGAAATAGCGATCTGGTCCTTAATTGCCCGCAGTTCTGAAGCTTCTGACTGGATCAACTAACGACATTGCATCACATTTTGGAGATGTGCTCATCACATTGAGCTTCTAGGCGCAATGCGGGAACGGTCCACAAAACACCGATGTCATGCCCACGGCTGACTTAGTTTACGGCCGAGTAGGTCAGAGTGCGCCCCGAAAAGTATCCTTCCCTGCATGATGACAGCGGACGAAGTACTAGCTTGATGCCTGTAGCCACCGGTCTGGTGGTCGTGTGTGTTTAGCAGATGTTGGTAAAGGCGTGACAACGACAAGGCGTGTTGCCACCCGGTCAGGGCTGCTGACGTAACAAGCGCGCAGCGATTTTATGTCGATGATGGTGGTGAGGCACCAGGACCCGCTAAGCGAGGCGAAAGGACACAGTGGTTCCTCATGTGATCCATCTCATTGCGAACAGTCCTCGCACAACACATGGCCGATATACACCTGCCATGCCCCTCCTGCCATGGCCACCCAAACGGCGGGCGACCTTTCAGTGCTTGGTCAGCACTCCATCTGCAGAATTGGCCAGTTGAACACACGACTGGCCCCTCCACACAATGCCAGGTAGACACCTCATCGACAGGACGTGTTCCGAATAGACAGCGCGTGGGCTTTGTGTGGGACCTTTCAAGTTTTGACACGTGCATTCCGGTGAAGCGGTTCACTGAATCATCGCAGTTTCCGGGGAGAAAAGGTGGAACTTTGTAAGTTGTGATTCAGTCGCACCTACGGGTCACCATCTCCTGCGAGACTCCCCGTTTGAGTGCAGCAGGTGTGGGGATAAGCTCACCGCAGAACTCGAGCTTGCCTTATGCGAACATCTTGCCATGATGTGTTTGTTTTGCTGTGCGGCGGCCCTGCCGTGGGCCCCAGGCGATGACCGCCTCGCCGCCAGCTACCGCTGCTGTTATAGTGTTCCTCGGACATGCCGGATTTATAACAATACATAGCAGGAACCCCAAGACCACCATGATGATATTGCGTCATGCATCGTGCATGATGCTCACTCCGTGTATGCTATTTGCTTTGCTATGTACGTCTGTTTGGATCTATTTATTTATTTACGTGTATGCTGTTTACGTTTTTGCTTTACGCCTTTACGGCTTCTGAATTGGCCGCCCATCTCGGTCTTTGCTTTTTGTGAAAGGATTATTATGATCGATTGAGAAAGGCTGCTTGGTACCTGAATGCTGTGTTGGTGCAGATGATCCTGGCCGTGGCTATGACATGGTATCATCCCGCGCGTGTGATGGTGCCGGTCAGACGAGTGTCGCGCCATATGGATATAAGTGAACGGTTCAGCCTGAGGTCCGGAGTTATCAGGATACGGATATGGTAGCATAACACGATTGGATTTTGGGCTGCGCATCTTGATGCAACATTTATTTGTATGCGTTGTTTGCAATAGGTCAGCCACGATTTTTTCATTCGATCAAGTTTACGTTAATGACACAATCTAACAGAAATTGCATTACTTCCGATTGGAAATCTTCAATTTGAATCGTCCGACCAATTCCGACGGAAATTTTTCGATTGTGTTGTGTTACTTGGCGTCGGGGTAAATAAGGACTATCTCCTTTAAGGATCCAGCACTACGCAAAACTTTTGCCTATGGTGATGTCTGCAACCCATCAGCGCGCGTGGAGACACGGAAGTCTGGACGATGTTTCGGGATAGCCATTTTGGGGCAAATGACGCCGATTAAAAAATTTGCTCACGCAATACCTTTGGATAAGGGAAACCCTGAATGAGCGCTCGTGAAACATTACCCTTACCATGTAATCAAACACAAAAATGACAACTGTTGGATCCGTACAGCATTCGAGATCCTCCGCGCTCTGTTACCTACCTGGTTATCTACCTTATGATTCCAAAATTCTTATTGTAGATGAATGTGCTTGATTATCATTACATGTGAAGACGGAGATCCAAAAGTGCATGCCTTCAAAACTCATCACCACACACCTGATAGACTACTTTGTGCTCATTTTTGTTATCCTTTTCTTCTCAGTCGCATACCAATCCTGTCACAAAATCAAATTTCCTTGACGGAGATTGAGTGTGGGACTTTCAGAGACCATGAACCACCACTTCGCAGTCGTGACAAGGTGATTGTACGGTGTCATCCAGTTGGTTTTCAATCCGCCTCCCTTATCCTTCATCTGCATCTTCGCGACACCCGCTTGTCCGGGGCAGATGCACGTGTCGGCCCCGGGTGGGCCGAGAGCCCCGTGGGAAGGGGGCCCCGGCCGGGCACCCAGCGCACATACGCGGGTTAAAGCTCGGCGGCTGGCCCTCCCCAGGCGCCTGCAAGCGTGTCTCACCGGGATCCATTCTCCTTCATCCCATAACCCTGAAATGATAATTTCTGGTCGAAAGAGCTTTAATCTAAACAGCCAAATAACCAAACCAGCTGGTCTACCCTTCTGGACTGAAGTGAATGAATGGTGACTGGATGGTGACTGAAGTCACCACTTGTGCTGGCTTGAGCGGACACTCGAGGCCGACTCGAGCGCCGTCCGCAGTCGGTTATGTACACGCAAACGAGGTTGTATTGCTGGGATATACCGTCAAGTGTCGTACGCAACGAGACGTATCGGACCTCGGCTCACGAAATCACTGCCCTTGGTTCCACTCCACTGCTGATTCAGAGGACTTTTAGCTGGTAGTCTTCGGCTGTGTGCGAGGTAACCATACGTCAGGCCCCGTGAGGTACGTGCGTCAAAAAAGCAGTAATGCAACAGTCATGATGACTTTTGGTGTTACAGCTATCTGCGCGAGCGCACGCGGGTCTTCTCTGTCAACAGAGCGGCCTCTGTGATCTGTCAACAGAGCGGCCTCTGTGTGCGGCGCGGCGGGAAGCGTCCCCCGTGAGCGCCCCACTCCGCGCGACTCGCCTGTCCACTCTGCGCCCAGATGGCCGAATACATGCTCTGATTGGAGAGGTGTCCGCCGGACATCAGTCAGGGGATCCAAGGCCCTTCCATATCTCGCTGCTGAGGAGCCCCCATCCAGCACTCTCTTCCGCCGTGCGGAGACGTCGTTCGGTTGTTCGATCCCGTTGCGGACAGACGTTGCTTGCACAGACCAGCAAGTCCTGTCAACTTCGATGTTATGTAAGGTTCCTAGAGCCACATGACTAAAAGGTGGCCCGGGTGGCTACAGTACCCTGACCGGCCCGGCCCGGCCCGGCCCGGCCCGGCAGGGCCTCGCGGCCGCCGGGACGGCAGCCAGCTGAGCTCGCTCGGCAGACTCGGACCACGTCGGCAGTGGTGACAGGTCGACCGCCGTTGGCCAACCCTTCTGTCAACAGGGCGCACCTCACTTCGGTAATTCGCTGCACGTTTCCTCCGCATATCGGCGTTGCATGCCGGGGCTATCAGTGTTATCAGTCGGCGCGCCTGCCGGCCGGACAAAGGCTACGGCCGTCGAGGCCATTGAGGCCCGAGACACGTTGCGGATCACTGGTGGATAGTGGAGGCCGTGGCGGCACGTTGCCACGTTTTCACGTTGTTATGTGTGTGAGCTGTGTCCGATCGACGGGCCGACGACGACTAGAAATAAACAAGGGTCTGCGAGTAATTTGAACGTGTCCAGTCCATGGCATGCATCGTTCTCTTTTGGAAGTCGATCACGCCTGCATTACGATGTTTCCTTGCAGGCAACGCTGCAAGGTATGTGTATGTATGACGCCTCAGTGTATGATGTGTGTGACGCTGTATTCAGTGTATGACGTCGCTTGTGTATGACGCCGTTTGATCGCTGAGGGTGTTGCACATTGCAAGTTTATCTTGGTGAGCAGAAGCTTGGGCGGGAAGAACCATTTTGTTCTGTTCCGCTGGGCTCGGCGCTCTTCTGTATCCATGCCGCAACTGGTACTGATGGTTGCAATGTCCGGAATCTGTCTGAAGATATGTAGGTAATTGGTGATTGACAGGTAATATTAGAAGGCATTTCTCGTTCCGTCGTTGTGTACATCGCTGTAATGCGTCAGTATCTCGACGTTGGCGTGAACTTTCTCCCAGCTCTCGCCTGGCCGCGGACTTTTTCGACGGCCGATTCACGCGGCGCGTGCAGCGCTCCCATGTTCAGCTCTAAGCCCGTGAGCGTGTCACCCGACAGCGAGTGAAACTGGCTGCTCCACAGCTGCGGGCGGATCAGCCGGGCGTCCTGCAGCCGAACACCGGCGGCGAAGGCCGGACTGGTTTCCTGACGGCGCATTGTTTTCCAGTCTAACGGGACACCCGATTCCTTCGTGGAACACGGTCGGCCTCGGTCGCACCCGTCTTTGAGAGTGATGGCGCGCAAGCCCTTTCCTGCGTTCCGTTGGCGGTCGCTGAGAACCGCGCCAGGTGCAGCAGTGCAGCAGCTGCACCTGGCGACAGGTCCTGCGTGCACCGCTCGGCGCAACCACAAATCAAAAATCGATGCTAAGTGTGAGAGATTTTTGAACGCTAGCGTAACCACGCCGTTTCGCAGCCCAACGCCGCGTTGTCCTCGCGCGTCCATGCCACGGCGGTGGGGAGCGGCCCGCACAGATGGTCTGTGTTGACCCTGGCCTGACCTGACCGCGCTCGTTACAGGGGCTGGCGAGCTGGCGTCGGTCGGCGTGCCGCCATGCAGTTCCTGAGTCCGTTTGATCCGGGGATCCGGGTGCTGACCGCGCTGCTGCTGTCGCTGCTGCTCTGCCTGACATCAGCAGGTGAGCCGGGCCGCAGAGAGCTGGCCTCTGGGGACGACACGCTGCCGCGGCGACCGGCACGCCAATGGATTGGGCATCATGACATTGCCTGTAATGGTGTTGACACTGGCGCTGACGCCGATGCTGCTCACAGACACTGATACCGATCTGATGATCGGCGCTGACAACAGTACCGGTAACCGTATTGACAACCGTGCTGGTGAAAACCCAACGCGGACAAGCGGGCTGCAATGATGCTGAGGGCTATGCGATCGGCCATGAAGCCTCAGTGCCCGAAAGCCCAAGTAAAAAAAAAACAGATGGTGTTACGACTAAAGGGTTGTGGCCACTCTTGTCTCGGCTGCGTACGTAGATATGAGTGTCATCTCCTGGTGCAGGTGGTGAAGTTTTTTCTGGTAGTATTTCTACTGGCCTCTGTTGACTTGTTTGTTTTCGTGCTGCGATATTTTTTCCACAGTTCTTGCATTAATATGGTCTTGTGTGAAGCTGACATCACTACCACGCGTAAGAGTATAAGAGTATCAGCATTTTGCCAAAAGTACTGCTCGTAATGCTGGGGTGCCTTGACAGAAGCTAACAGTGTGGCGATATCGTCGTATTGGCCGTCGTCGTTGGATGGGATTGCAAGCTATATTTTTAGAAATCACAAATTTCTCTTGGTTCTAGAAAACGATGCGGCTTGAAAACCCTGTTAGTGCAGGAAATCCCTATAAGAATGACTAAGCTGCCTCTCTCTTTTGACACATTGTTGACTTCGTTGAATAAGGAGCCACACATAAATAGAAGTCGATGATGAGAAGGGTAAGGACCATGATAACACATGATGAGGACCGATCCTCAACAATCCAATAAAGAGTTACTGCACTGGTAAGAGGAAAGTTTTAAAAGGGCGTACTCATCCATTCCACGTTCACAGCCGTGGCACTCGCAGTTCGTCCACTGTCAACCATCCGTGCTGATCACGTCCAGCTGTTCTGATGACGTCCAGCCGTGGTGGTCGCGTCCAGCCGTGCTGGTCACGTCCAGCCGTGCTGATCACACCCAGCCGTGCTGATCACACCTAGCCTCGCCAAACTGCGCTGCTCCTGGTGTGACGGCCGAAGGCAGTGAGCGGGAGGGGGAGGGGGGAGGGGGGGGGGCGGTCGCTGCGGCGCGCCAGCTGCGCGGCTCCAGCGCCGACGCCAGGCGATGAGGCGCGCCCGTGAGCCGCCGACCGTGGCCGACGGCTGCGCACACTCGGTCGTCGCGTGCAACACTGCAGCCGCCAGCTCACTTGTATGGCCAACGAGCTAAGCCAAGCGCTTCAGTCGAATGCGGACGGACAGTTATTTATGCAGATGTTTGGAGGTCTTTTTGAATGGAGTGCTGCTTCCGTTGTCTCGGAATGGAGTGCTGCTTCCGTTGTCTCGAACTTGTTCATGGCACATGGACAGGTGTGATGATGGCGTCAGCGTCCAGGGACCACCGAGAGACTGGGAGTCGAGCCGGGGCCACCATGGAAATGACCTTTGCTTTGCATGATATATTCCAAGCTTTTTTAGACTAGATCGTTGCGCCTGCGATACCTGTGAATCCGCCCGTCGTGAGATCTCGATGGATGGCACTCTTTTATTGCTGCATTGTCGATAAACCAGACCCGGTAGTTTCGAATCCAGCTGGACGTCTGGGCACAGACAACGCTCAACAGTAAACCGGTTTATGCAGTTAGATGATCGTAACTGGATTAGAGTAATGAATGATAACGACTGAGCATAAAATGGCATTGTTGATACGTTCTGTCGATGTGTCGATGCGTTGATACGGTTGTTGAAGGGCGCGTTTGCTCGCCGACTGCTTTTCTAAATCATACTAGCTAAAATTGTGATACGCGTATTCAGAGCCAGGGCGGATCGACTGTGCACACCGGAGATCAACTGAAAATGTCAGTGCAGTTTGTGATGGTAATGGTTTTTGAGGGGGGGAAGCAGCACTTGGTGTCCACGCAAAGAACATGGGACAGTTGCGACTCGGCGTCGCCAAACACATGCCTGAGCTACCCAAGACACTGTGATGTGATGTGATGATGATGGTAATGGCACTGTACAAGACGGTGTGGTGATGAGACTGTACAAGACGGTGTGGCGATGAGATTGTACAAGACGGTGTGGTGATGAGATTGTACAAGACGGTGTGGTGATGAGACTGTACAAGACGGTGTGGTGATGAGACTGTACAAGACGGTGTGGTGATGAATTGTACAAGACGGTGTGGTGATGAGACTGTACAAGACGGTGCGGTGATGAGATTGTACAAGACGGTGTGGTGATGAGACTGTACAAGACGGTGCGGTGATGAGGTTGTACAAGACGGTGTGGTGATGAGACTGTACAAGACGGTGCGGTGATGAGGTTGTACAAGACGGTGTGGTGATGAGACTGTACAAGACGGTGCGGTGATGAGGTTGTACAAGACGGTGTGGTGATGAGACTGCACAGATGTGCACACCGGGGCACGCTGGACCTTGTGCGATGCGGTCACATGTGTCTAGCTGATGGGTATCACTGAACCCTCATTGCTTTGGAGTTAACGTCGCGCTCGACAGGCGCCCGGGCACCGCTCCCCGCAGGAGGGGAGAGCGGCACCGGCCAGCTCCGCCCCCGCCACCCGGGGTATACAATGGGTGCTGCCGCGGCCGGCGGCGTGCTCGGACGGCACTCCACTCGCCGGGGCTCCTCTGATTACGCCGACCCGGCCGCATTGTGTCGGCTGCAGACGGTCTCGGCTTTCGCAGAATTGCACTTGTCGGCCGCCGAGATCCGGCCGTGCTCTCGCTCGCTCACCCTCTCTCCCTCTCTCCGTGCACCGCCGTGCACGGCGGCCTGGGCGCGGGCTGTGCCGCCGTGCACGCGCCCGCCCCGGCCGATCCGTGCACGGTCAGCGTCGGCCGGTGATCTGAATCAGCGGCTGGAGCGGGCCGCGTCAGCGCCGCCTCCCCTGCCGATCTGTGCACGGTCAGCGTCGGCCGGTGATCTGAATCAGCGGCTGGAGCGGGCCGCGTCAGCGCCGCCTCCCCGGCCGATCTGTGCACGGTCAGCGTCGGCCGGTGATCTGAATCAGCGGCTGGAGCGGGCCGCGTCAGCGCCGCCTCCCCGGCCGGCCTGCGCGGCGCCGCGCCCCGCGCCCCGCGCCCTGCAGACGCGCCTGTCTCCGGTGGGAGACGAGTCGGCGGCCGGGCAGAAGAGCGGCGGCCGCCGAACCTGCTGGGCGGGCGGGCGCGGGATGGACCGGACCGGACCGGACCGAGACCGGACCGAGACCGGACCGGGACGGCCGACACCGCACCCGGCCGGCCAGACCGTACAGGACGTGCCGTCTGTTTGTGTTACCGCCAGACAGCGTAAACCGAAACATTAAGCTCGGACCTCCGCCACACCTGCCTATGTCACCGGACGCCTGCCGGCACGACCCACGCCATCCGACACCGCCTTCCGACACCGCCGGACACCGCCGCGCTGAAATCGGAGCGACACCTCGCGTGCGGCCCGACCGCGCTAGTCAGCCCCCGCTGTTGGTGTTGGCTACGGCGGCGGCCAGGCCGGCGGCGAGGCGTGGCACGCGCGCTGTCGACGGACGCGGCGGGTCGGGCGCGCGCCGGCTCCGTCCCGGGCGTGAGGCGGCCGGGCTGCGTGAACCGGGCACGTCGAGCCTCTGCTCTGCCAGAGCTGGCCCGCGGCCCGTCCCTCAGCTCGGCGGCGGGGGCTCGGCCGGGGCTGACCTGCCGAGCGACCTTTGTTCAGCTCCGCGGCGGAGGCTATGGCTAGGGCGGAGCGCTGCCCGGTCCAGGCCGCTGCTCCTGCGTAGCGGAGAGAGGCCCGGGCTGGGTGACGGGTGCGCCACTGCGCCACTGCGTCACGCGTGCGCCGGCGGCGGCGGCGGCAGCGGCGGAGGAGGAGGCCGGTCCCAGGCCGGGTCGGGGCTCCGGGCCGCCGGAATAATCAGCGGCGCCATCTGGCGGGCCGAACCGGGACGCCTCACGGCCGGTCGGCCGTCGAGCGCGTGACCTCTGCGGACCAGGCGGGCGCGGGGGCGGCCCTCCCGTCACACGCGTTCGACAGCGGCGCCGGAGGGTGCGCGCCACGCTGCCCGTTTCCCGGACATGTTACCGCCGCTGTCAATCAAGGCGAGGGGAGCGGGGGGCCGAGTGCCAGTGACCTACAGGCCGGGAAGTGTTCCCGCGCCCCCCGCATGACGCGGACACTGGCGGCGCTGAGAGCTCACCCTGCTCCGCGGCGGTCACGTGACGGTGCGGGCGCCTTCTGGCGGAAGCCACGTGACCCAGCTGCGGCGGGCGGCAGCCAGGTCCGTCCCCGCCCCCGCCGGCCGCCTGGAAATAGGATGATTGCCCTCCGCGACCGAACCCGCTCATTACGCTCCCAGTTCCATCGATTGATAGCCAGGGGTGGTGCGGCGCCGCGGACGCTTGTCCCTCCCCAGCCCCCCCCCCCCCCCCCCCCCCCCCCCTCCCGCATCCCCAAACCGATTCGCGGCCGGAATGGCGAGAACGCCGCTTCCCGCGCTGTGAGGACGGCTGGCCTCGAGCGGCCGGGCGCTCGCGCGGGGTGGGCCAGTACTCTGGCAGCCCGGGCGAAACGCGCCGCCCTGTTCCGACCACTCTGACGAGACGCGCCGCCCCGCTCCGGCTGCTCTGGCAAGACGTGCCGCCCCGCTCCGGCCGCTCTGGCGAAACGTGCCGCCCCGCTCCGGCCGCTCTGGCGAGACGCGCTGCCCTGCTCCGGCCGCTCTGGCGAGACGTGCCGCCCCTGCTCCGGCCGCTCTGGTGAGACGCGCCGCCCCGCTCCGGCCGATCTGGCGAAACGCGCTGCCCTGCTCCGGCCTCTCTGGCGAGACGTGCCGCCCCTGCTCCGGCCGCTCTGGTGAGACGCGCCGCCCCGCTCCGGCCGTTCTGGCGAGACGTGCCACCCCGCTCCGGCCGCTCTGGCGAGACGCGCTGCCCTGCTCCGGCCGCTCTGGCGAGACGTGCCGCCCCTGCTCCGGCCGCTCTGGTGAGACGCGCCGCCCCGCTCCGGCCGCTCTGGCGAGACGCGCTGCCCTGCTCCGGCCGCTCTGGCGAGACGTGCCGTCCCGCTCCGGCCGCTCTGGTGAGGCGTGTCGCCCCGCTCCAGTGACCCGGGCGAGGCGTGCCGCCCCGCTCCGGCCGTCCGCGGCGCAGTGCCACATCGGAGCTGCTCTCAGAGCCGCGGAGGCCGGCGGCGTCCCTGTAGGCGGCGCCCCTTTAGACGCGGGCGTCGCTGCTGGTCAACAGGTGGCAGCTGCTGTTGTTTGATACGGTGCCCAGGCGGTCACTGCCCCAGACGAGACGGAAGCCGACGCCCTCAGGGCCCAATCCTCCGGCGCCGTCCGCTACTGACGGCCGGGCATTATCCGGCATTGATTTGGATGCACTTGAAATGCGGCGCTATCGTAGCGAACGCGTCAGGTCAAGGCAATTCTTGTGAACGGCGCCGACTGAGAAGACTTGTACTCCCCGGCATTCTTTATTCGTCTTCGTCTTGGCTTCGCCTCATGTGATGGTGTGAATTATCCGGATGCTTTGAATGTTTTTGAATTTTCAGCGTTATCTTAGTTGGCGAATGCGTCAGGTAAAAGAATGCCTTTTGAACGGAGTTGACTGAAAAGAATGAGTGTTTGCCGGCACACCCACCCTCCCTTTCATCTAGGCTTCATCATTTGCATTGTTTTATATTTCCCTCTCTGCCCATTTTCTTTCGTTCTCACGCCGCGTGCTCCTTTTTCATCGTCTTCTTTTCTTCTCCCTTTATTTTCTCTTTTCTCCTTACATCTCTCATGTCACTCACTCTCCTTCTCTGCCGTCGGAGCCGGTTTTTGTGTAGATCGCCGCGGATACAATTAATCGACACCAGCGTGTGCCTGCATCCTCTACACATGTAGCGTGTCGGGGCCGCCGTGATTCTGGCGGCGCCCGCTGGCGCTCGCTGTCGTCAGCGCCTGGCCGACCCATTAGGGGCCCGGCCCAACACCTGTGTGAAGCGGCGCTCGCCTGGCGTCGCGTCTGCTGTCAGGCGGGTCAGGCCGCTGGCGGGTGCGGCGCACCAGCATGCCGCCATGTAGACCCGACTGCTGCCAGTAAGTCCACCGGATGTTGCCTTTGGTTCGGCGCGTTCAGTATCGGTCATCTTTTAAAACCAACAAGTCCTGAGCAGCATTTTGCAATAGGCTTTTTGGAAAGCTGTCCTATCGAGCGCAGGTATCTTTTCCGCGGGCCGTAGGTAGAACGGGGACGAATAGGCCGTGGCTCCCCCATTTTTTATGGTCATGACTACCCAACTTTTGAGGACATTTCTATGCATCCAGCGGAGACTGCCAGAACGGGGACCCCCATCTCCTCCGAACCAGGAATCACAGAGACTCTCTTGCGATCGCTCCCGGCTGGTCGTCCCGGCGGGCTCTCTGGGCCGGGGCGACGGCGGCGGTGGCGGTGCGCGGCCGGCCCGCGGGCGCCGCCGGCAGCCAGCCGCCGCGCCGTCAGCGGCCTCGCGCGAGCTGTTTTGGCACAGCTGTCGGCCGGCCGGGCGGCGCGGACGCCGGAGTCGGGAGCGACGCCAGCCCAGCGACGCCGCCGGCCCGCGTCCGGTCCGACGGGCCACCGGTCTGGGCCGACGGGCACGGGCCACCGGCCGGGGCCGACGCCGACGGCCGACGGCGCGGCAGACAAGCTGCTGTCTGTTACTGCCCTGGTAATGTGTTGAACCGAGAGAGCCTGAGAGCCGTTGCAAGGTTGTTGAGAGAAGCTGAGGGATGTTGCGGGTTTGATGGCATGGTGAACACCTAAGGGGGAGGGGGGGGGGAGTGACGACAGGGGGCCAGGCTACCGGGTGCAGCGATGAGCTGTGTGGCAAAACGATTAGAACATCGTCGGGCAATTCGGCGCCAGGCGATTGGGCGCTGTTTCGAGCCCGCTGAGACCATGATGGGCGATGATGGCTGAATCATGTGGTTAGCTGGTGGTAAGGCTCGGCCAAGCACCAATAAAGGGGCAGTTTTGGCGTCGCTGCACATTTCGCATGGAGGCAGTGCATTTTTGCCAACGCTTGTGCCAATAAAAAGCCGTAAGCTTGCTGTTCCAGCCATGCTTGCTGTTCCAGCCATGTGGGCGCGCCTCGTCGCGCTTTTTGCCCCGCAAATCTCTTTACGTTCGGGCGGCGGGCCAGCATGCCACTTGCGGTCCGGTGGCCAGATACTCGAGGCTGACTTTTACCGATGTCCTTTCCTGGAACGACGCCACGTCGCTCGGCGGCGGGCGAAACAAAGCGCGCGCTGCGGTCAGGGGCCGCGCCGACTGCAGCTGCAGGCAGCCGACGGCCTGCACAGCTGCGCCGACGCCTCCCACTCGGCAGAGATTGGCCACCTGGCCGCGCGCGCGCGCGCGCTCGCGGCCCAGGCGTCTCGGGGCCGGGCGCGGCGGCCGAGCCGGAACCGGCCGCCGGCCGCCGGCCGCCGGGGCGCCGGGCGCCGGGCGCCGGGCGATCGGACGCGTCGGTCTGGCGGCTGCCCTCGCGGGCGCCCCGGCCGCGGGAGCAGTGCCGGGCTGGGGAGACGTGTCCGCGGGAGCAGTGCCGGGCTGGGGAGACATGTCCGCGGGAGCAGTGCCAGTTGGGGAGACATGTCCGCGGGAGCAGTGCCGGGCTGGGGAGACATGTCCGCGGGAGCAGTGCCGGACTGGGGAGACATGTCCGCGGGAGCAGTGCCGGGCTGGGGAGACATGTCCGCGGGAGCAGTGCCAGTTGGGGAGACATGTCCGCGGGAGCAGTGCCGGGTTGGGGAGACGTGTCCGTGGGAGCAGTGCCAGTTGGGAAGACATGTCCGCGGGAGCAGTGCCGGGCTGGGGAGACACATCCGCCGGCGTATCCGTGCCGCCACCAGGGGCGCAGCAGTGCGGGCCGGTGCGAGCCTCCAGGGCAAAGGCAGGGATATATTCACGGCTCAACCGATCGCCGTTGGCACGGTCGGCCAGCGGCAGTGACAGCGGCGGCGGCGGCGGCGACGGCGGGCCGGACGGCAGAGCGACGCCGAACGAGGCGCGTGGGACGCGGAGCCTCCAGGCCCGAATAGGCCATGGACGCGGCGGCAGCGGTGGTCACTGGCCCACCAGTCGTGTGCGCGGCGGCGGCTGGCGCAAAAACTGGCCGCCGGGCCGGCCGCTCGGCCCCGATGCTATCGTCCTAATTGACATGATACAAATGGGCGGTCCGCAGCGGCGCGGCCGCGTCTGGTCACGTGTGCGAGGTCGGGGCGGCGCAGGGAGAGCGTGCCCCGGGCGACGGAGCTGGAGGTCGGTGCGGACCGTTCGGAGACGCCGGCGGGGGTGGGCTCAGTGTGTTGTCGAGCTGGGCCGGGGGATTGTGCGGGGTCTGATCAGGCACCAGCGGGGGTGGGCTCGGTGTGCTGCCGAGCTGCGCCGGAGGGTTGCGCGGTGTCTGATCAGGCACCGGCGGGGGTGGGCTCGGTGTGCTGCCAAGCTGCGCCGGAGGGTTGCGCGGGGTCTGATGAGGCACCGGCGGGGGTGGGCTCGGTGTGCTGCCGAGCTGCGCCGGAGGGGTGCGCGGGGTCTGATGAGGCACCGGCGGGGGTGGGCTCGGTGTGCTGCCGAGCTGCGCCGGAGGGTTGCGCGGTGTCTGATCAGGCACCGGCGGGGGTGGGCTCGGTGTGCTGCCGAGCTGCGCCGGAGGGTTGCGCGGGGGTCCGTCTGGTGAGCTGCCGTGCAGCGCGGTCGGAGTTTCGCTGCAGATGTGCGCGACCGCAGGCTTAAGCGGATTCCCCGTCGTGCTCTGAGGCTGGTCTTGTAAATCCCGTTATCGGGGCTTCGGTTGTTACATTAGCTGAGTATGGCCGCAGAGGCTCGAAGCTCAAGAGCATGTCATCACGGGTGTCGACGCTGCCTTAATTGGACAGATTTGGTGAAAACGTTCAGTCAGATTTGACCAAACGTCAAAGTTTTCAGCTGTGCTGCGTTGCTCCAAGCTTAACCAGTCGTGGGTGCATGGTAAAATGTATGTTAGCAATTCTGCATACTGTGTAAGCCGTTGTGCAATACGTACCCGTGACGGGGAAAGGGAAAAAAGTTTGAGGATTGCCGGCAACCTTGGAAGACAGTCATCAGGAGTTTTGCGAAGGAGGCATTGGATAGAGCTGAAAAACGTCAGATGCTGGGTACTTTGCGGGCTGTAAGCATACGAAGAAAGCTTCTGCGCCGTCGTTGCAACACTGTCTTTCACAGCTCGTCACTGGATTAGCAGCACCGTTATTGAACGGGACTGTGCCATCTTCGTGGGACCCATTCAATGCTTTTGGCCGCTACCAGCTTTTTTCGTTTTGTCCACGTTCCACTTCGTCCTAATGCAGTTACAAGTCTTCTCCGCGTTGGAAAAAGCTGATGGTTACGTCATCGTGCCGCGTGACAGCCAGCTTCCACCTGTCTTACGCATCTCGGTGTCCGTTCCCTAAACCTCCAAATCATTATCATCGCTACCAGTGTCCGCCTCTGCTCTGGCAACGCCGAAAGCGCGCAGCAGTGTTCGCGCCCCAACGAGCGGAAGCCCCTGCCCTCTTTGGCCGCTGTCTCAGCGTCGCCCCGTGCGGACACGGAGCTTGTCTCGCGATCGCCGTGACTACAGAGCCACGACACGGCCTGTCGCCTTGTCCGAGGACGCCTGGCGGCAGTGCCCCCCCCCCCCCCCCCCCCACCCCCCACCATCCTCCCCCCTATCTGGCACCACCAAACGGCCGGGAATAGCCGGCCCGCCGCCACCACTGACCGCGTGCCTGTTTCTTTCAGCGGCCAACAGATGTCACTCGGAGCGGTGCAGCCGCGAGTTCGAGCGCACGCGTCAGACGCTGGGTATGGCCGAGATGGAGTCGGCCTCGCCGGGCTACTGCCGGGCCCTACGCCGCTTCACGGTCTGCCTGCGCGCCACGGAGCGTGCCTGCCGGGGTGACCTCACCTACCACTCCAACCTGCGTATCCTGGAGCGCAAGATCCAGAGGCTCAACTGCCAGCGGGTGATCGCCGAGGCGGGCGAGGCGCCGCCGGCGCCGCGGCCGCGGCCGCGACCACCGCCCACTCGCAGGCCGACGCTGCAAGAGTCGGTCTGCGCGTACCACGGCGACCCGGAGCCGGCGTTCTGCGGCCTGTTCGGCGACCCGCACGTGCGCACGTTCTCGGGCGAGTACCAGACGTGCCGCGTGCAGGGCGCCTGGCCGCTCATCGACAACCCGTACCTGGCTGTGCAGGTCACCAACGAGCCGGCGGCCAGCGACCACCGCGCCACCGCGCCCAGCAAGGTGAGGGAGTGGGCGGCGCGGGCGAACCGAGCCGACGCTGCGCAGCTGGCTAGCCGGCGCGCGCTGTCTGTGAGACGGCGCCGTGGGCGGCGCAGGTGTGTGCCTCGGCCGCGTGTGGGCGTGTGGCGGGATTTACCTGTGCTGTTCGTGTCCAGACGGGTCATGGTCCTCTGTTGGGTTGAAGGCGCGCAGCGAGCTGCTGAACCGCCGTGTCGTGTTGTGCCGTCCATAGCCGAGGCTGCTGTGCAGGCGTCGCCGTGAGGTGCAGCGTGTCTATTCTGCCTTCCCGGTCCTTATCTTTTGGCGGTGCAGGTCATGTCTAAGGGTTCTGTCACGGATTGCTGGGTTGGAGGAGGGATGGGTTGGGGCGGGGGAAGGGGTCCACGAACTTCATCACCTACGGTGTATATTGGATAAGTGCGTATGTGCTGAATGACTGGCAGACAGCGGACCGTGCTGACACCTTCCGTTCGGACCGTGTGCACATTTGTGTTCTGCTTGATGTGCATGTCTGCATATGTGCGCCTGCTGTTCCATTCGTCGCTCATGTACAGGCGTACAGATGTGCCATGTCACGGCGACAGGCGGCCGCTTCTCGTCGTTTTGCATACCTGTGTGTTCGTTTGTGGGCGACCGGAAAGCACGCCGATAGATAACCCACCCGACGCCATGCCCCGTGACAGCCAAGGTCATCCGACGGCTGCCGCCGACACCTGTTTTTGCCGGGGCACCTCGCTGTTGACGTGGGCGAGGCCGACGAGGTGGCCACCGCCGCCGACGGGGCCCGACAGCGACAGGGGGCCCGCTGTCAGTGTCAGGGCTGTCGCCGCGGAGCCAGCGCGCCGACGCAACGCCTCGCGTCGCCGCCGCAGATGTCGGCGCGCCGGTGGGCGATGCTAGCGAACCTTGGAGCGCCGTCGGACCACGCGGTGATGTCGATTCCGCCGGGTCTGCAGCCAGCCCGGTCGCGTGTCGATTCCGCCGGGTCTGTGGCCAGTCCGGTCGATTCCGCCGGGTCTGCAGCCAGCCCGGTCGCGCTCGGAGTTACCAGCGGTTTGGAGAGTTGCATCCCGCTGACAGCCCCTAATGTCCGCCCGTTAGTCACCAAAGCGTCATGTTCCGCAACGGCCGGCAGCGCTGCAGTAGGCGGCGTCTTTCCGTTCCCACGCAACGCTCGGAGCGTCGGCGGTTGCCGACTCTGCTCCCGACGGCGCTGCAGGCGGGCCGAGTCGGGTGGCCCTGTGACGCGCTGTCCCGCCGGGTCACATGCTGTTCCGCCGCGTCACACGCCGTTCCGCCGCGTGATGCGCCGGCCCGGTGGCCGCTGTGGCGGCCGTCGCGCCGTTGAGTGACAGCCCGCTCTGTGGCTGGCACCTCGGTCGGCTGAGGAGGCGGCTGAGAGAGCTGCGCGCCGGCCCGCTCCCTCGGGGCCCTGCGCCGGCCCACTGCACGCCACAGTTGATTGCCACTGTTTATCGGAGCGCGGTCACGGCAGAGGCCCGCTGACGCCTCCGCCAACGCCTGCGCCCAGACCCGGGGAGCGTACGTCAGATGTGCCCTCGGAATGTCAGGAATGCAGACCCCGATGTTCGTTTCGGTATTCGTTGGCGGCGGGCAGGGCGATAGCGGTGGAGAACTAGGCTGGTACGGGAGGGGGAAGGGGGGAGGGGGGGTCTTGCGGTGTTCCGGTCCTGTTGTGATGATTTGTGTTCTGACAAGGTGCGATGGGCTTCTTGTGTGTGCATATCGTGTTGTCAGTATGATATACACTGACTTACACGATATACACGCGATAAACGGTGGCTTTTGCAGGTGTATGAGTGTGCAAAATGTGTTCGTGACTTCCACATAGCTGTCGTCGATTTCGTCTCTTCGGAATACAATCAGCTGCTCCGGGTACCGTTTGAGGCCGTTTTATCGCCGAACCGCTTGCGTTGTGCTGCACCCCATGAATTTCCAGGGTCGCCTTCAATGGTCGTCTGCCGACGTGTGACGCAGCGGCGCATGCTGCCCCCCCCCCCCCCCCGGCCCTGGCGCCTCTTTGACACTGCCCCTCCCTTCCAGCTGACCGTGATTGTGAAGCGGAACGACCCGTGCACGGCGCAGCTGACGTATGAGGCGCGGGGCGACCTGTTGCCGGCGGCGTTCGTGGACGGCGCGCTGTCGTCGGGCCGCCGCTCGGGCCACAGCGTCACCGTCTCGGCCGTGGTGCCCGGCCAGCACGTGCGCATCACTCTGCGCCACATCAACGCCACGCTGGTGATCCGGCGCGTGGCCGGCCACCTGACGTTCGCGGCGCGGCTGCCGCGCGGCCTGACCGAGCAGTCGGCGGAGCGCGCGGGCCTCGAGCTGTGCTCGCGCGGCTGTCCAGCCGGCGAGCGCATCGACTACCGACACGTGCTGAGCGCCGGCCGGCCGGTCAGCACCGTACACCGCGGCCGCGCCGCCGTGCTGACGCGTGACGTCATCGCCGACATGTGCCGCGAGTACCGCGTCACCGACTTCTACTTCGACGCGTGCGTGTTCGACGTGCTGTTTACGGGCAAGACGGCGTTCATGGAAGCGGCGCGCGAGGCGCAGCAGGACCTGCGTCGCTTGATGCCGCAGGCCGTTACCGAGCTGGCCAACCGAACGCGGCTGCAGCTGGTGGCGGCGCCTGACGCCGCGCCGCACGCCGTGCTCCCGCCGCTGAGGACGCTGCTGCTGCTGGCGCTGGCGCTGGTGCTGCGGTGACGCGCGTGATGTGACGGGGGGTGGGGGCGCCGGCCGGTGCAGGGTACAGGCGGCCCGGCGGGTATGCTCCTCATAGGGGCGAGACGACGCCGGGACCGCGGTGGGCCCGGGGCGAGCCGCGCCGGTGGCGGCGCCGCGCCATGCTCGGGTGCCGCACGCCGGGCGGATCAGCTCCGCCGGCGGCAGTGCCGTCAGGGAGGGTGGGAACGTTGACGCCGCCACACGGCAGGGTACGCCGTGTGGCGCCCGCCTGTTTTGCGCCGCTGGCGGCGGGCCGGGGTCAGCCATACGTCACCGCCATACGCCGCGCACGCCGTCTTAGCAGTCGACTTCATTTACCTCATCCCGAGTTTGTTGTCTAGTCAATAAGTTGCTTTGAAGTGTATGTGTCACAATGAAGCGCAAATGTTACGCACGCAGTTACGTCGAACCTAATTGAAGCTCTCGGACAGGGTGGTCGCCGCTGCCACCACCGGATGGTTGTGGGTTAGTTGGGCGACTGCCCGTCGGTGGAGCGGGTTGTGATGACTCGAGCTAGCCGTCTCCGAGGTGGACGATGGTGGCGCATGTATCGGGTGTCGGTCACCAATCACTGCCGATACCATTGTCACCAGTTGGTGTTGGTGCCTCTGTCGTCTAGCACCAGTTGATGACGTCAGTTGATCTCTGATAACAGCCGCCGCCGGTGCCACCTGACGCCGATACGAGCTGGGCTGGTCAGCTGGTCTCGTTCTCATGCTGCCTGGTGCTGGTGTCGGCTGACACGTCATTAGTTGGTGCTGGTGCCAGCTGGCCTCTGGCACCGATTGGTGGCGATTGGTCGGTCTGAAAAGCGTCCTACCTTCGTGCAATGTGTACCGGTTGTTCTGTCGCCGATAGCTAACTAGTGTAAGAAACATACAAATATAACATCACCGATCAGCCACAGCACTTTGCACTTTTCGATGACTGGTGTGATGAGAGGACATGGTTCGCGGGCTGGTGGACCCCCGCGCCTTATCATAGGTCAGTGACCTCGGGTCAGCCACCGTCTGGCAGTGACGTGACGTGGGGCCCTTCCACATGCACGTCTTTGAAGGACCGCAGTCAGCCGCACGCAGTCTCCCAGCGACGACGGCTAAACAACTTCCAGATGGTTCCACAAAGGCTGCTGCTAAGCTTCCGCGTTTGGGCCAAAAGGAGGCTATCAGGGAATCGGCAGCGGCTTTGAGATTCACGACGAACCTGCAGTCGCTCTTCGATCATGGCTCAGGGACGGGACCTTGGGGCTTGGTAATTGATGCCGATGTTTTTGTGGCATTCGGAATGGCTTCGGATCGTCTTTAGGGCAACACTACATAGGACTGCGTTTGTCTGCGTCGCCAGGTAATCCTTGAAAACTGCACCTGCGCAAGTTGCCGCAAACCCAGAGAGAGGATTCTCGGCCGCCGGCACGCTGCAGACGGTGGGAGAAAATCTGTCGACAATTAAGCAGCAGCCGAGGGCACACCTCCGCCACGCCAGGATCAGGTGCAGGTGGTGTTACATGCGGCTCCGTGGCGTTTTTATGCTGCCGCCCGGCCGGTTTCCAGGCAGTCGTTTGTTTTGAGGCCCAAGGGACCGGTTCTTCCATGGGCGTTCGCGGCGCCACAGAGGCGGGATCCCGGCTGCAACGCACGCAGTCTCGCCCTTACGGGCACGGTTCGCCGGGCTCCGCTCGACGCCTGGGAGATGAATGGAAATCGGGCCCCCATGACGGGCCGGGGGAGGGAGAAACTTGACGCCGGCGGAAGAGGGGAGATGGCGTCTTGGAGGCTGGCTGATGCGAGCAACAGAAGCAACAAGAGTGAACTGACGACGGTAGCAGATCGCGCATGGCCGGAAAGCGCGCCATGCATGCGGACCGGATTGCCTTGCGTTTGACCTCACAAAAAAAATGAAGTAAAAACAGCAGCTCGATGAAAAGGCCTGCACATATTTCATCCTCAAATATGGGGCGACAGGAATGAGGAACGGCTTTGCAGAGTTTTGCAGGCAGCCGTTGCAAAGGCACTTGGAAGAAACCTCTTTTTCGCCGTAAACATGCCGACCTTGCATGCCCTTCAGCTCATACCTCCACCGCTAGCCCCCGTCATTTTTACCGTGGCGTCTCAGCCCCTCAAACCTGTGCCTTGTGTAACCGGGCTGCCATGGGCAGGTAGCTGTGGGGTGTGCTGGGCCCCGTCCGCCGGAATGGGGATGGTAGGGAGCGGCGGAGACCCGCAGGTGGTGCGGGAGGACAGCCCCCGTCACAAATAGCCAGCCTAAGCTGCCTCGCCCTCGCCGTCCGCCGTGCCTGAGCGCCGCATTGTCCACGTCCCTTTCTCGGGGCTCATTTCGGACCCCGGGTGGACGGGGAGACCGTTTGTGTGCATCGGTAGGCCGCGGCACCGCCGCTGACGCACGTATCAACAGCTGTCCGGTGACTGGGGGGGGGGGGGGGGGGGGGCACTGTGACGGGCGACGGTGTCCGGGAGGGGCACTGTCAACCCCCGCGAAGGAGACAGGAGTCAGGCGTGTCTCGTCAGCTACGCCGGTCCGTGCAGTCTGGCGGTAGACAACGCTGCCTGCAAAAAGAAAAACTGGGATGGTGTGCAGTTTAGACGCCGCCAAGGCCTTGGACGCATGCAAATATCCCGCCGGCGTCGCCCTGAGACCGTTTCATCATATTACTCCAGTCAGATACTTGTTTCGACCTATGGCGAGCAGAGGACGCGAGCTATGAATCCGTCATCCAAGGAGCTATGCAATATGCATGACGCATCATTATGTCACTCACTCCACAGTGTGCAACTCCACAGGTCTCCAAATGTGAAAGATGGCGCCGAGCTCCCTACCCGCCGTAAATTATCAGCATTCAAGCGCACGTGCCTAACATGACAATGCTCGCTGCAAGGTCCAGGTTCTTACCAGCTTTCAGGCCTCCCAGTCATCCAAGATAGCGTGGTATCCTGACGTTGACGGGCTGCCAAAGTTAATTCGTGCTTAATCTTCTGTAATCACAGGTCTTGTCAGCATTCCGCTTCCGGTGTCGAACTTGGCGAATGTATCTGTTGAGATAAATTCCTTCTACAGCGCTTAAAAAACAATCCACGCGGTGTATGCACCTATTCCTGCCGTATGGGATCGGTGCTGACCCTTGCCGCCGTGGAATGCAATTTCACATAGCACAGCAACACCAGCCACCACACAAACTCGTCAGCATCCAGGTGTTCTGCAAACATGACACACCTACGATATGTGTTCAGCTCTAGTTCTACCAAAATTGTTCCAAAATATGTGAGCTGTAACGTGATTGGGTCTACCAGCAAATGGCACCAAGTGCATACTTGCAATGCGTGCTTAATAAGATAGAACTACTTCTTAAGCTGCGTAGCATCATCAGTGCCCCTCTTCTTGTAGATACGCTGAAGTGGGGCACACAACGTGGTCTCACTAAGTCAGTTTTCGAAATTAACGATATGCCATTTTTCCGTAGAACACATCCCAAACGAATCAAGACAAATAAAACGATTGCGTGTGTAACGTGGTCAGAAGCGTGTGTAACGTATGACGTATGTAAGGTAACGAGGAGCTTATTTGCTAAATAGTGAAATTAAGCTTAGCCTTTACATTCAACCATCGGGACGTTAGACGGGAAGGTTGAGACTTCAACTTCGATAAGTTTTCTTCAAATGCGTTTTCAACGACGGATAGCCAGATGGGGATGCTTAACGTGCCAGAAGGCTGAGAGGCATACATTTGAAAGCATTTAGGTCAGCCCCAATTGTGCTATGATAACACTAACCTTCGATTAAGGCTCGCGGCCCGCTGGACCCGATTAAAAAGGACAAGCTGAAATCCACAAGTCAGGGATAATCCGCCTTCGTATCAAAAACGAGCGACAGACCGGAATATGTCAGTGAACTGAACACCCCGCTGGAAGAGGGCAGATGTGCTCACAGCTGCGCACTGACCCACGCGGGAGGGACGCGGGAGAGACGCGGGAGACAGACTGACAGCAGAAGACTGACGAGTGCTGACGGTCGGGACTGAGCACGACTTTCGATGCGGCTGGGGCGCACAGCGCGCGGAACACCCCGACGACCCTTCCCGTCGGTGGTCGGCAGCTGGGTCGCCCCCCCCCCCCCCCGCCGGCGGTCGGCGCCTCCGCGGCGCCTCCAGTGCCAGTTTTTGTGGCGGCTCGTAATCAATCCGGCATTCCGGGACGTCATATATTTCCCCAGAACGCGCCCGGCGGCGGCGTGGACACGACCGAGTATTGTCGGCCGTTTTTTCGCCGTCTCGCCTGGGCGCACGGCTGCACGGGCCGCCGCGCCGGTGCGCCGGCATCAGACGCGCGTGCCGGTCGTTGTGCAAGCCACAGCGTCTGGGCTCGCTTGGTACGCGCCGGCCGTCCAGCCCCGACGCGTGCCGTCGCGTCGGCACCGACGTGCTACATGTGCAGTCTGGCACGCGGCCGTCGGCGGCGGCGGCGGTGGCTGTGGCGGTGGCACGCTTGGTCAGACGAGTCTGCCGCCGCCGCCGGCGGCCCGCACGCCTTCCATTCACGGCAGCGTCTGCGGCCGCCGCCAGCGCCCAAGGCCAGCGGGCAGCAAGGGCACGCCGGCCGGCCGGCCACCTCGCACCCGTGCCCCTGTTGCGCGGTGCCCTGCCGGCCGTGGCTCACACCTGTGACCGAGAGCCTGTTTGCGGCGGGCGCCGCTGATTTCTGGTACACCACGGCGATGATGAGGGCGGCGGTTCGGCGGCCGGTCCGGCACGGCGCCGGCGGTGACGCGGCCGCCGAGGCTCGGCGCCGGCCGCAGCCCGCGGCGCCCCGAGTAACGCCGCTCAGGTGATCGCGGCCCGCGCCGAGGCTATCAGAGCGCTCTGGTCGGGTCAGGGCACGGCGCCGCCGGTCGAGTCATCTCGTGACATTCGTGGATGGAGTTCAGGTGGGACGGGTGTGTGCGATTTATGTTGGATTTAATCATTGCCTA